CCGACCCGCCAGACGCCGGAAGCCGCTGGAGGGCGAGGACCCGGGTAACCCTCCCTTCCACCCCAACCCGGACCGTCAGCCCATCAAGAGCCCGGTGCTCCCCGCCGCGGATGCACGGTCCTCGGGTGGGCCCGGTTCCTCTTAATGACATCGCCTAGTGTCTCCGGAGCCGCCATCCTAAACAATGGGGGGCGAAGGGGTGCCGGCTCCGGGTCTAGCCCTTTGCCGCTCCTCCGCTGCCTGGCCGTGCGCTTCGCCATCTGGCAGACCCCGTCCTGACCTCTGCCTCCTGACCCCTCCGTAGGATGCCCAGCAGAGCCCACCCCCTCTGCAGCTCCTTGGTTCTCTGTGTCCATCTGCCCATCGGCAATAAACTCCAGCCCCAGCTGCCCTGTGCCGTGTGTCGTGTTGTCTGCACAGGTGTCTTCCTGGGCTCTCGCCTTTGTTGCCCCCGTAGGCTTCCCCCTTCCCAAGGGGCCTTCTTTTCTCCCATGCCCTCTGTACTTCACGGGGTGGGGTGGGGAGAAGAGGCTTCTCTGCAGCAGGGCAGTTGAAGGTCAGACAGCGGGAAGGACTTCTAGGTACTGTGTGCTTGGGGCACAGGACGGGCGCCTGTCTGAAGAGAAGCAGAGGATCCACCCTCGTGACGCGACGCAGAAGACAAAAGGAGCGATGGGATGATGCAGGGCCAGAACTGGGGTTCTGGGAATTGCTATTAATAGTGTCAGGACAGAGACCAACTCACCCTGAGAACTGCCGAGCTGGGGAGGAGATGCTTGTCTTCCTGAGCTCCGAGAACGGTGGATGGGGTCGTTGTGGCATTCCCGGCCTCTCTGGAAATCAGGGAGAGCACCAGAGTGCTATGCTGGGCGCAAGGCTCCTGCACCCTCTCTGGCCTGCAGCGTCCCTGGTAAACTAAGGCCCAGGAGCTCAGGTCCAGCCGCTGGTGAAGGAACCAGGAGCCGAGTTCATATTCCCTTCCCAAGGCTGAGGCCTGGCTCTGGGCAGGGGTGGGGATCCAATTTGCCCATCCAGCCTCCCTTGTTGAGCTGGAGACTTAGGGAGACTGGAGCTGAGACTTCTCAGGTTGGGAGGCCTGGGGGTATGGAGTGGGAATGCCAGCAACTCTGCTTACCTCCTCTCTGTCACACCAGCACCGCCCAGAGGGTGACCAGCACTCCCTTACAGCCAGCATCCGTGGTGGTTCGGTGCACTGGCTTTGGGGTTAGGGTGTCCAGGTTCAAATCCCAACTCTTCCTTTCATTACCTGTGTGACTTGGGGCGGGTTGCTTTGACCTCTCTGGCTCCATAAAAAGAAGACAGCGATATGTTAACTATAGAGTTGCTCTGAGGATTAAATAAACTAGTGATCGAACACCTTGAGAACAGTGTTATGTATTCTTTCTGCCCCTTGAGGCTTTGAAAACCTCAACTGGGAGGGGTATCAAGACCACCCAATGGGACCAGCAGTTAGCGTAGTGGCTATGTCGCTGAACTCCCATGTACTCCCTGACCCAGTGGGTTAAAACTCACGCTGGGCACGTGTGCGTGCATGCTCAAGATCCCTGAGAGGAGAATGGAGAAGGGATTCCGGCGTGGCCTTCCTCCCTGGGGGTGATTTCTCGCTTTCTGTCTCTCTGTCTCTGTCTGGTGAGCACACATGCCCTATAATGAAAACCTCTCCAAAAAAAAAAAAAAAAAAAACCACCTAGTACCCTGGACGCTAGCAAATGGTGAGGAGAGGCCCACCTCCTCTACTCCCCAGGTCTTCTCCCAGCCCCAACTCCTTGCCTCTCTCCCTGTCCCAGCTCTTCTGTCCCCCCCTCTCTTTCTGTGTTTTTTCCTCTTGGTCTCAACATTTGTATGTCTGTTCTCTTCCTCCTGATGCCTCTCTCTATATGTGTATACACACACATATATACACATACACACATACATACACGTACACACATGCATACACACATACACACATACATGCATATGTATACACACGTGTATACATACATACATATGTGTTTAGTTTGCTAGAGGCTGCATGTGCTTGCTGGGGACAGAGTGAGAAAGGGAAAGTAAGAAGGCACCCTCAGGGGGATATCCACGCTGTGCATAATCCCTCTCCATTTCTCCTGTTGAGATTTTGGGCACATATGCACATGCGTGTTTTTCAATCTGCCTGATCTGAGACTTGACCTGCAAAGTCGGCCAGATGGGATCCAGTCACCTTTACCACCGCACCACTGGCTGGCCAGTGCCTCTCAACAGTACCTCTCTCCCACTCTATCTCACGGACTCACTTTCTGTCTCTGTTTTTCGTAAGTATGTATTTCTTCCATGAGAGAGAGAGAGGCATTCCCCACGGTGTCTTAAAGCACGCCTAGCTATTGTGAGCAATACTGCTAGGGACATTCATGTGCATGTTTGTTTGAACTCCTGTTTTTATTTTTTATTTTTTTTGAGAGATTTTCGCTATAGGGCGCGTGTGCTCGCCAGACAGACAGAGAGAGACATAGAGACAGAAAGCGAGAAATCACCCCCCAGGGGGGATGGTCACGCCGCAATCCCTTCTCCTCCATTCTCCTCTTGGGATCTTGGGCATGCACGCACACATGCCCGGCGTGAGTTTTAAGCCACCGGGTCCGGGACGTGAACCGTGGTTGACTCCGTGGGAGTCCAGCAACATAGCTATTACGCTAACTGCTGGTTCCCTGAACTCCTGTTTTTCATATTAAGAATTATTTTTGGGACCAGCAGTTGGTGTAATGGCTATGTCGCTGGACTCCCATGAAGTCAACCACAGTTCGAGTCCTGGACCCGGTGGCTTAAACTCATGTCAGGCGCATGTGCGTGTGTGCCCAAGATCCCAAGAGGAGAATGGAGGAGAAGGGATTGTGGCATGGCCATCCCCCCTGGGGGGTGATTTCTCACTTTCTGTCTTTCTGTCTCTCTCTTTCTGGCAAGCGCACATGCCCTCTAGCAAAAACCTCTCAACAACAAAAAAAGAATTATTTTTATTTAATGTTATTCATTATTATTCTTTAAAAAATTTGACCAGAGAGATATAGAGAAAGACGGAGAGAGAGAAAGAGGAAAAGTGAGAAAGCAAGCCACCAGGTCTGGGACATGAAGTGTGGCTGGCCATGTGGGAGCCCAGCACCTCAACCACCATGCCACCTGCCAGCCCCTGAACTCCTGTTGTTAATTCTCATGGGTAGAGTCTAGGAGCGGAAGAGCTGGGTCCTGTGGAAATCTATGTTGAACTTATCGAGGAACAGCTCGGCAGGATCTGTGCACGTTTCAAAGATATGTCCCCTGGGGACCAGCAGTTAGCATAATGGCTATGTCGCTGGGCTCCCACCTAGTCGACCGCTCCTGGACCCGGTGGCTTAAAACTCACCGCGTCCCCCCCGGGCCCGGTGGCTAAAAACTCACGCCGGGTGCGTGTGTGTGCGTGCCCAAGATCCAGAGAGAATGAAGGAGAAGGGATTGCGGCATGACCCTCCCCCCTGGGGGGTGATTTCTCACTTTCTGTCTCTGTCTCTGTCTGGTGAGTGCACGCGCCCAATAGCGAAAACCTCTTAAAAAAAAAAAAAATATGGCCCCTGGATGTGGTGTGAGGGTCAAGGCAGGTGCCAAGACCTGAGCACCGGGGGGCGGAGTGCCCCTCAGAGATGGGCGGAGTCAGCCATC